CCCGGCCGCCCCAGCCTCGACCTGCTGGGCCCCGGCGATCCTCCCACCCCAGCCTTCCAAGTAGCTGGAACCACAGGCATGCGCCACCACACCCGGCTCGTTTTCCAACTTACTGTAGAGCCGAGGGCTCGCCATGTGGTCCAGACTGGTCTCGAACCCGTGCGCTCCGGCGATCCTCTTGCCTCGGCCTCCCAACGTGCTGGGATGACGGACGTGAGACACCGCGTCCGGCCTCGAAGGGGGTTTAAAAATAAAATCAACACAATCCCGTGCCCGGCAGATCTTGATTCCATTCTTTAATTCGCTTCCTCTTTGCTCCTTTCGCTCGCTTGTGTTTTGAGTCCCTGCGGCGCGTCCCGGTGCTGCTGCCCTTAGGGAACCTGCAGCCTGCGGGGAGGGGCGGATAAAGGCCGTTGGGTGTGCCGAAAGAGAGCTAAAGAGCCCAGTGGGGAGAGGCACCCTGGGTGGCCACAGAGGGCCTCCTGGAGGAGGTGGCATTGGAGCTGAGGCCACTTAGACATCTGGGAGCCCACCATTTAGGCAGAGGGCACAGCCCTGCATGTTTTTGTTTTTTTTGAGTCGGAGTCTCACTCTGTCTCCCAGGCTGGAGTGCAATGGCGCACTCACGGTCACCGCAGCCTCGACCCACTGGGCTCAGGTGATCCTTCCATCTTAACCTTCCAAGTAGCTGGAACTGCAGGTGCCTGCCACCACGCCCGGCTACGTTTTTAAAAATTTATTGTGGAACCCGCTGGCTCAGACAATCTACTCGCCTCAGCCTCCCAAAGGCGCGGGATCACCACGGAGACCTCATCTCTACAATAAATCAAAAAATCAGCCGGGCGTGGTAGCACATGCCTGTAATTCCGGCTACTCGGAAGGCTGAGGTGGAAGGATCGCCGGAGCCCAGCAGGTCGAGGCTCCCGGCCACTGCACTCCAGTCTGGGCGACAGAGTGAGACTCCGACTCAAAAAAAAAAAAATTTATTGTGGAGACGAGGCCTCGCCGAGTTGCCCAGGCTGGTCTCAAACCCTTGGGCTCGGGCGATCCTCTCGCCTCCGCCTCCCAAAGTGCTGGGATGACGGGCGTGAGCCACCGTTCCCGGCTCCTGCAGTGTCTTTAGGGCTGGAAAGAAGGAACTGGCAGTGTGGTTGGAGCCCAGAGAGTGAGGGAAGAGCTGCAAGGCACAGGCTGGAACTCTGGGGCTCTGCGCGTCCAGGTATGCAGGGTGGGTCTTGTTGTAAATGCTGGGGAATGTGAGGGCTTTAGGTGGGCCATGGCTGTTCATAGTGAGTGAGTAGAGGGGAAGGGTGGAGGGTGGGTTGCACAGGAAGCAGGGAGATGGGGCAGCAGCACCCTCCCAGCACAGCGGGTCTCAGCGTAATGTTTGGAGATATGGAAAGAGGAACAGGACCGGAAAGACGAGCCAGGGAGTCCTGCCCAAGGAGGGGCAGGCTTGAGTTTTTTTTTCTTTCTTTTTTTTTGAGAAAGCCAGATTTATTGAGGACAGAAAAGCTCCCACAGTGGGAGGGGGCCCGAAGGGGTTGCCCCAGGCTTGGGTTTTTAAGGGTGCTGTATTCGGGAGGGTGTTGGAGGCAGCAGTAAAGTGGGGAGACAAAGCGTCGCATCCGGCGTGGGCTGGAAAGTCTGTCTGGCCCTTCTCGGCAGCTGCCAGCAGGTTCCAGGAAGCTTCAAGCGAGGTATGTGGTTGTGGGTTTGGGGTGGAGGGGTGCATAGGGGATTGGTGGGTGGAGGGGCAGATGGGGG